CTACATTGTCTTCTCCATCAGACTCATCCTCATCACTCTCATCAGGAAGCTCAATATCTTCTCCATTTACTGTAACTGGTTTTCCTGCATTCTCACCAGACTGTGCGATGACTCCTGCGCTTACAAACCCGACTTTTCTTCCACCATCTTTGGATGTAACTGTGGTGGACATTGGTGCCATAAGCTGCCTCTCCAGAGCCGCCATTTCATCTTCTGGCAAACCTGCTTTCTTCAGCTCGTCTTTCGCCTCTTCCACATCTATCTTGTCCTTTTGCATCATGTTCTCTGGCAGAATGAAATGAGTCTGAAAACAAAAAAAAAATATCAAAAATACGATCAGAACATCCGCTAAAACACCTTAAAGTAATAACATCAGGATGAGAAAGCAGCAAACCTGACTGTAACTAGCGGAAACACTTCTCTTGATCCTAAGCATCTCTCTATACGTGTCTTCATTCCCATGCTGCACCTCAAACTCGTGCCACTTGTTCCAGAACTCCGGGTCGGATCTTGGATCAGCATACTGAGAGGCATACTTGTAGACCGCACGAGAACGATCAATCTCTCCCAAGCTTCTCTCCAGCTCTGCAAACTTTATGCACATGATCTTCACATCCTTGTGTGGAAGTCCAGATTCTATTGCTTGCTCATAAATCTCCCTTGTTCTTGGAACACCAAATATTTCTGCTGCACGGGAAATGTAAATCTCATACATCTCCAGCCTCTGAACTTCTGGAACCTTCTTGGTGGCTTCTTCATAAACTTTCATGGCTCGCTTGGCCAGACCATAGTCCTCTTCTAGCTTAGCATACTGAAGATATAAGGTTCTCACAGCTTCTGATGGGGCCTGAAAGAAAGATAAGAGAGAAGTTAGATCAACAACAAATCAACAGAAAAGAGAGAAACAAACTTTAACCAGAAAAAAATGTGTAATAACAGTGTTCTAAAAATTGGTCTAGACAGATTTTTTCAACTACGCATTAAAAAAATCGGTCTAAGCATCCCACTAAACAATATTTTTTATAAGGCGTCTAACCACAGCTTAGCAATTTCTTGAATATTGGTAAATAAGATAGATTAGTTTACCATTGAAACAGCATGCTCAAACAGCTCTCTCGCCCTCTCCAGCTTTGCCTTCCCATATCTCTTGACAAACTTTGTAAGATAAGTAACCCAAATGTCTTTCACATGAGGATACTTGAATATCTTGACACCTCTCTCATACACCTTGAAAGCATCTTCAAAGTACTTATTCTCCTCAAGAAGGTAAGCATAGTTGAGAATGATCTGAGGCGTAGCTATCCTCAAATCCAATATCTTCTCATAGACAGCTCTTGTCGACTCCAGCGTCCCAAGGCTTTCCTCCAAATCAACGTAAAAGGACCAAAGCCTCAAGGATCTGTGCAGCTTCATCTGAACTGGCTCATTCCCATCAGCAGCTACTCTTCTTCTGACTTCTACCGTTGGTACAGCTGTAGCACGCCTCATCAGCTCCAACGCTCCTTTGAAATTCTTGTGCCTCAGCTCCATCTCAGCCCACTCACACCAGACACTAGCGAGATGGTCCACGGTTTTGTAGTTTACTTGAACTGCCTTGTCCAGAATCACTCTAGTATTGACTAGGTCTTTGTGCTCTTCATACAATTTAGCAAAAGCGACCCACAACGTATGAGGCTTCCCAAGCGCTTTCATAGGATCAACAGTCCTCACTGCTTCTGTATACGTCAGAATCTGCTTCGCTGCGTCTCCTTCAAATATCTTAACCCTGCGATGCCACTGTTCAACATTGTGTGGGTTCTGCCTAAGCAGCACACTGTTCGCTAACGCAGGTCTTCTGTTCATAAGCTCCTCCAAGCGAGCCAATCTCAAATCAACATCATTATCATCATTCAACCAAAACCCATTCAATATCTTCCTCTGCAGCTCCTTCACCGAGAGAGAAAAATTAAGCCTCACATCCTCCTCCTCCTCATCCTCCCCTTCACCCTCATCTTCTTCATCACTCGAACTCATCATCTCCATCTTCTTAGCAACAGTACTCTCCTCAAACCTCGAATACACATCAAATATAACACTAAAATCCCTCACAGTAACAACCTTCATCATCCCTTCCTCATAAACATCCCTAGCCTTCTCAAGCAAATTCTTCCTTATATAATAATCCGCAAGAGAAGTCCAAAGCATCCCAACCTCATCAGTAAACTTCCTAATCCCTCCCCTTATAATAGCATCAACATTCAACCCCGAAATCTCATTAGCATGATGCACAAGTATCTCACACAACTCCATCCACAGCTTATGCTTATTCTTCCCTTTAATAGAATAAAACTGATCATCATTCAAAACCCCAGCCAACCTCTCCGCAGCCTCTTGCCAACGACACGACTTAACCAAAAACTCAATAAACTCCTCAATATGAGAAGGATCATACATCAAATATCTCCTATAAACCCTCAAAGAAGTCTCAATAGGAACACCATCCAACCCCACAAAGACAAGATACGGCTCCCAAATCCTCTCATGCTGAGTCACAGGCAAAGCACAAAGCGCACGGTCGAAAGTCCTCCTCGTCCTAGTCACAAGTCTCTGAGTAGTCAATGTTTGAAGATACATAACCCAAACCCTAGGCATCTTGTGCATAGTAACCAACCCTCTCTCAAAGGTATTGTTGAGTGAATCGTACTGTGGATGAGTCACGGGGAGGTTTCTGACTATCTCAAGCCTCTCACGGAGATAAGCGTGCCAAAGCTTGTAGCTTCCGGGTAAGGCTTTGAGAGCTCTCTCGTAGATAACGAAGCGTTTCTTGAAAGGGGACTCGGATTTGGAGATTAGGTAACGCCACCAGAGCTTTAAGCTGAATGGGTTTCGGAGGATCTCTTCCTCGTAGACGAGATCTTCTTGAGATGGGTAGAGATCTTTGGAGATGGCCATGGTGGTTTAGATCTAGCGATAAAGGTGGAGACTTTAGGGTTTGTTTAGTGAATTGAGGATGTGGGTTGAGTGTGAGGAGGTTAACTAGTAATGGGTGGAGTTTGATTTGCGATGGTGTTATGGTGAGGAGTAGCGAGACGACGGTGAAGTTCCGGCGTGTGAAGATTTAGGGTTGAGGAGAAAGGAAAGGATTTTATTCGGAGTGTTAAGAGTTATTTTTATTATTGAGTTGCCCCTGTTCTTTTCTTTGGTTTTGTTTAAACCCCGAACGGTTTATCTTTTACTTTTTAGTCCAGCCAAGTTGTGTCAAGGATTTTGGTTTTTTGTAATGTGTTTGTGAGAGACTCTCTTCAATGTCAGTCGTAAGGGCAACATTATCAATGGTCCCTAAGCCGAGTCCCTTAGCGGAAAAATCTCTTATCTTTAAGGGACTTTAGAGATGTTTTTTAGCATTTTTAGTTAAAAGCTAATGAATTTTTCCGTTTATGGACTCGGCTTAGAGACCATTGATAATGATGCTCTCAAAGAATTACATTTGTAAAGAAGAGGAATTTAACCTTCTTGTTACTTTTCTTTTAGTAAAATAACAGAAAACAATATTTAAGATTTACTTATTTTTGATTTTTAAATGGTCTCACAATTTTGTAAGCTTTCTGTTTTTTTTTTTTCTTGTGCAACGTTTTGTAAGCTTCCTATGTTTTTCTAAAGTTGATATTGCTAACAGACAAAAAAACATGGGCCCCAAAAACTCTTTAAAAACTATTATTTGAAACTATTGTTAAACTACACTAGAATTAAAAGAATATAAGATATATACAAAAAGGTGTCGACTAAAAAATGTTAATGAATCATACTAGATCAAAGGTATATCAACACATATTCTAAAGATTTTTAACCAATAGTTTTGACGTAGAATCCAACACATATTCTAAACATTTTTAGCAATGCATTCGCTACGCGATCATATCATTTTCTGGTGATCGATTACATCCTTTTTCTCAGGAAATATTTTACTTAACGCTATAATGATACAAGATATCTTTGAGCTGGTGATTTAGAACTTAAAAGGATTTAACCCCAAAATAGTGATGGATTACATATTTATGGGAAAATATCTTTATATATACAATGAGAAGTTTATTAAAATGATCCAAATTAATTGTGATATTATTAGAATGATTATTATTTTTCAAAAATTATTAAAATATTTTTTCTGGTCAAAATTACTCGCCCATAGTTATAACAATAAAATTATCAAAATACCCTTAACATTTATAAAAAGGTTTGTTTATAAAAATAAATCTACCGTTAAAGCGGTGTCTGATTTTTTAAAATACGCCACGTTTATTTTCATAGTAGAGTTAATTGTTTGATTTGAATATATCACATGTTTTTTTAGAATATATTTGGCGAATGAGATAGCAGATTGTAATAAATAGTATAT